TGCCTTTACTTGATATTACTTTAAAAATACGGTATGATATTACAAAGTTAATCGCCTAAAGAAGTATTCTGAACAAATGTATGCCATTTCAGGAATAAAAAGTAATCGAAAAGTAAGTCTAAAAAATTTTCTTAACTCCTTTTAGTCCCGAAAAATATATGGAACTAAAATGATGTAATATTGGGAGCTGATTCACTCATAAAAATGCATTACATGTAGCGGGAAAGAGAATTTATGAAGGAATTGGAAATCCACTATTTCATTTTTAGTTGAGCAATAAATAATCTTTTTAAGTACAGATAAGGTGATCCTTGATGTTCGTGTTATTCTTTATTTATATTCATGTATTTATATCTTTACAGTAATACCGTAAGTTTGTATGTGAACTTTGATTTTATATGAGCGTTAAGAATATTGAATGCAAGGCACTTGCTTCAAAGGAATAATCCCAAGAAACAAAACTGAAAGATATACTTGAAATGCAAACAGTTCATTTACTTCATAAACTATAAAAGTGAAAAAAAATCATTATGTGCCTAGCCCTCAAAGTATAGCTGCCCATTCAGACTTGCCAGACGTGAATAAAAAAAAAGAAAGAAGTAGAGTTCCTAACAAAAGAGTGGAAAATGAAGTAAAATTGAAAAACAAAACAAGAAAAAATTAAATGAATTGACGAATTTAAGACTAACTATATTCATTTATTTTTAGCTTTTATTTTATTATTAATATTTTCATTCCTAACATTTCATTTTCTTTTTCAAATCTGTTCTTTATTTTTTCGTTCATGTCTGGTGCCTGAGGACCTATTTTTGAGTAGAGAACATTTGAGCTAAAGAATATATTAATTCTTTTAATGCATTATAATTAATAAAGCAACTAAACTACACTCTATAACAAAAAAATCGACGCACCAAGAAGGAGTTGTCCGATTGAAACGAAAATTAGTGGATATGAAGACAATGTACAGAATGTTAAACGATTAAAATTTCAGAACAATAGAATAATTTATTGCAGAGTTACAGTAGCAAGTTCAATAAGGTGTTGACCCGCCTCTAGCCTGGATACAAGCTGCCACACGGCGTGTCATAGACCGATAAATCTCCCGGATGGTCTCTTGCGGTATTTCCTGCCAAATTCGATCCAATTGTCGAACGAGGTCATCAACATTCCGTGCCAGATGCAATCGCTTTCCCATCATATCCCAGACATGCTCGATGGAAGAGAGATCTGGTGATCTGGCAGGCCAAGGAAGAGTTTGACAAGCTTGAAGACAGTTCATAGCAACACGTGCTGTATGTGGTCTGGCAATGTCCTGCTGAAAAAACCAGCCCAGGGCGCTGCAAAAGGAACGGTAGCAAAACAGGTCTTAGGATGTCGTCGACGTACCGCTGTGCAGTAAGTGTACCTCTTAATGACGACCAAAGGGGTCCGGCTGTCAAAGGAAATGGCATCCCAGACCATAATGCCTTGTTGAGGGCCGATGTGGCGTATAATAGTGAAGGCAGGATCTCCCCTCTTCCCTCTGCGTCTCCAAACACGTCTTCGTCAGGACACAGTTGGAAGCGGGATTCGTAGCTAAAGACTATACGTCCCCAGTCGGCATCATTCCAGCCATATCTGTTCAAAACATGAATGCACACGAAATTTCAAAGCAATGGGATGATTGCTTCTTGGTGCGTCGATTTTTTTGTTATAGAGTGTATTTACATTCCATGTATAAGGCCATTAACTTATTTGCTCTTATAACAGTAGTGTAAAACCTTGCTACGATGTACATTCTGCTATATTTATATTTTGTTCCATAGCATTATTCTCTCGCTAGTTTTTTTTCTCCAATTTAAGATAAATTATTTAAATTAAAGTGAATTTTGATTTATTATTTAATGTAGAGAGCAATAAGATTTCCTCAGAGCTAATTATTTTGCATTTAAATCGATATTTAAAGCCTGCGTCAAATAAATTGAGAAAAAGTAAAATGTACGTTTCCAAAAAACAGAACGTTATTATCTTGAAAATTGACGATTTTATGCAGGACTGAACTATCCATAGAATAACATGGGGATTGCTTTTCTCCCGATTGAACGGCCTTAAGTGTAGTGCCAGAAAATTAAAGCATCTCTTTATTATAAATTTTATGAAATTTTAATTTTTAGATTTTGATAGTTTATGCTTTATTTACAAATAAAAATTTCTATAGAGATGGAAAAAATTAGAACTTTTTTATAAAGGAAGAAAAACCAAATTTGCATATTTTAAGTTATGAATTTATTAATTATTTAAGAAACCATTCAAAATAATTATAATAAATCATTATAATAAATCATTATAAATGCAAACTAAAGCAATGCAATGACAGTAAGTGATTATTTTTAAAAATGGCATCAAAATCCTTGATTTCACGTGAGTAAAGGTGCCTTGAAACACACTACAAGGGAGCATTGGGAGATGCATAATTTCATTGAGTATTACACTGCTGTTTGTATCTTTCGTATTTTGTTTTTTTGCTTTCAAGGAAATTCAATTTAATAAAAACCTAAATATATTGATTAAGTATTTTCTGATTAAGCAAATTACACGAAAACTTTGTTGCAAAATCAATGAAACGTAAAATAGACAAAAATTAATATACTTATGTACAATTACATTTGCGGAAATACCACAAGAAATATAAAACCGAACTAATTTGATTTTTATAAGAAAGTGTGTAAAAGTATGACAAAAAGATATTTTAAATAAGGGTAATGGCGTGAACGCGTGATCATTGATTAATAGGTATCGTAGCAATATTGTAATAAATACTTCATATAAAGGGTTTAATGGGATGTATTAATAAGATACATAGTTAGTAAGATGTTCCATTTTCAAGCGTTCTAAATGGCAGAAAACTATTTTAGGATAAAAAATATGCAGATAAAAATCTTACTTCTCAACTAAAGCAGTTTTTAGCCTACACTGTAAAAAAAACTCTAAAAATGATGGCGACTGCTCTACCCCAAAGTGGTATTTCACTACAGCAAAAAGCAACAATAGCTCTTCGTATAGTGAATCACCAAGAATACACTACTTCGTGTAAAGTAGACACTACAATTTTTGTTACTTAGTAACGCTAAAATTTGTAATAACAGTAAAATATGATGCACATAATAATCTGTAAAGTTATTTTTACAATACAATATAAAGTCAGAATCATTAAGATGCATTTATAGATTTTTTTAAAACGTTTTGGTTTTAAAGTCATATTCAGGTCTCTTTGAAAAAAGGTTACCTTGAAGATCCCCTTGCCCTTGAACCCCTATTACCCTTGACGATCCTATCCGTTATGATAATCGCTGTGACAATTTTGCCAACGCAACATTGGACAAACCATCCGGCCTTAAAATCTATATATATATATTTCTCTTACACGGCGATAAAAAAAAGCCTCATTACAACTCCCCGAATGGCAACGCTAGAAAATCGACCAATGATTGCCGCTAAAAATGCCACATACCAAATTTAGCTGAAATGGGCTCAATTTATAGCGCTTTTAAAAACGGAAACTGAAATAACCAGAGAGAGCATAAGCTAGGCAGAAACGAGTAGTCTTTGTCGATAGATCTCTATTTTAGTATTTTGTCGAAAGCCCTTTTTTTCACGAATTTATATATTACGAATTTATTTGACGATTTTTGATTTATATCACGAATTTATTTGTTTTACTAGAATTTATTTGTTTATGCAGGTTTTTCCATTGCAATTCACTTATTTCAATTTTTAATAGACTTAATTATAGCCAAAATTTTAACCTTTTTAAAGAGATATCAGTTTTAGAAATTTTATCTTAAGATTTTATACTATAGCACATTTCTAATAGGTTTAACGAATTACATGTCATTTATTTGAATTCAAATTTATTTTAATGACTTAGTATTTACTAAAAAGATGTAATTTTTTTTTAAAAAAAAAGTTGTTATATGGATTTGAATGATTGTTTTGAATTCTTAGAATTTTGTGCATTTGCAATGTACCTAAGTTAGTAGCGAGCGAAGCGAGCTTGGTTTGCGAAGCAAACCATATAAGATTGCGTAGCAATTTTCGGGGGTTGGCGAGCGTTAGCGAGCAGGGGGCGCAACCCACTAGTTAATATTTATTTTGGGGAGTTGAACTTCTAATTTAAAGTAAATCTGATAGTATGAAGCAACACCGGAGGAAAAAATAAGGGTTGTGTGCCATGAATGTATAGTATGGTGACATTAGAGTCCGTTGCGAGTTTGGTAAAAAACCTATTGTCACAGTACCCATTTTTATCACCAATGTTGGCATAATAGTATTTATAAAGGCAGTTTCAATTAATTAACTGTGCCGGTCTCTCAGTTTTGCGCTTAGGTGTTATGAATTAATTATTTTCACCCTTTATAAAGAACGGACTAGTGAACAATTTTGAATAGCGTTTTAAAAGTTACCTGGAGGATCATATTCTATTTCATTTTTTTAAAAAAGAATATATAATCTTTATTCCTTTGAATATTCCTGATAAAAAAAGAAAAGAAGATATTTTTCTGCTGTCGTTGAATGGAATATTTTGGTTCTTTATAAATTTTGATGTACGATTTATATTATATTTGCAAAACAAACAAAGAATGACGCAGACGCACTTGTAGTCGTCAAAAAAAGTTTCATGCTTCAAAAAACAGAAAGAAAAGCCATCATCTTATGTCATTAAACTCAGATTTCAACAGAACATAGCACCTTATTATTGAGTAATTAAATATGTTCATTTAATATAAATTTAGAACAGTATATTCGAAAGTCAATTCTGAAACTTTCCTTAATTAAACAACTTTCTTTAAATTCTTCTCGTAAAATTGTAGATTAAATCGAGAAGAGTTAAAAAAGATTCGTTAAAACAGATTTTTCTTTAACATAGTATTTTGAATTTTTTTTATTGCTGAAAATTTACGCACTTTTGTGAGTTTATCTCATTTTATACCAGTGTCATTTAGAATATTATTTTGTTTCAGATAAAAGTAAAAATGTTTCTGAATCGAATTGAATGGAGATTCAAGCCAATTTTCGTTTGATGAACAGATTTTAACATTGTTTTGTTATCATGAACGAAAGTGAGATTGATGTTAGTGAAAATGAAACAGAGCTATTTGACTTTGCTAATAACAGTTTTTTCAACTTCAGCAATGAGACCAACGGCAATCTTGATGTTACGGCGTTTACAAAAGAATCTAGAATCGAAGCAATAGTTTATGGAATTCTGTTCATAGTAGCCGCTGGTGGAAATCTCCCTGTTCTTTGGAGCCTTTTAAAAAACCACAGGCGTAAATGTCGTATACAGACGATGATATTCCACTTAGCGATAGCAGATTCCATTGTCACATTTATAATGATACCACTTGAAATTGCTTGGAGAATCACTGTTGAATGGATAGCTGGGGACATCGCTTGCAGAATAATGCTTTTCTGGAGAGCCTTTGGACCTTACTTGTCGTCCATGATATTGGTTTGCATCAGTCTAGACCGCTATACAGCTATTGTCCACCCTCTGAGAGTGCACGACGCTCAAAGAAAATCCCGCATCATGTTGGGTGTCGCATGGCTCACAAGTTTTGTTTGCAGCATTCCTCAGGTAATTATTTCGTGTTTATCTAAGTATTATAATCAAATAAGCAAAATCTATTCTTAATTTTTATTACTTTTATAAGTTTTTTTTTTTACGCAATAGCAACTTTGGTTGATGTGTTTTTGTAAAAGATGTTGTCAGTTTTTGTATGGACTTGGTGAAACAGTTCCCCTTTATTTCCTTGGTGTAGCAATAACACTGTCGCTTATTAAACCGTTGCTTTCTTGCAAAGTGGCTTCAAGAAAACATCACACCGAGTTCATAACCCGGGCTTGGCTCCAACTGCTGTTAGTGAGTGGCCAACGCCAGTTTTTTAGAATATTTCACAGGAAAATGAATGATGAACTCCGATGATGAGATTAGAACATATAACTTATTGATGAGAGCAAAAACATAGATATTAGCATTTAAAAAATACATCATCTGCAAAATTAGAGTAAAATAAGGCTTATCCCAGTAATTGAAAATAACAAGCCCGGTTTTATAAACAAGACATATATAACAAGCCGAGTTTTTTACATAAAAAAAATAAAGTTTTATTTTTGGGATCACCCTTGTATTTATTTACAGTAGACCCAAAAAATATTTAAGAGAGTTTATAGCACAGTAACGTTACAGAGATATGAAACTCTTATTTCAGATTCGAATTGTGATGCACAATAGTTCTACTCAATCACCTCCCTTAACGTGTGAGACTCATCATGCAAATATTTGGGGGCAAAAATATTTTGGTATTATTCTACTTCAGAAAAAGAAGATACACTGACATATTTATTTCGTTATATTAATGACAATGCATTTAGTATAGGCATTGGGGCAAATTTAGAATATGATCAACTAAAAAAAAATTAATTACTCATAATTAATAATTTATCAGCAGATTTTAATTCGGTTGTATCCTCATTGTTTGGTGCCTAGCAAAATTGGCATCGCATGCAGTTGAAGTCACTATTCTCTGTCTAAATGTAAGTAAAATATTTTGTTTCAGACTATCTTAAATTGCAAAATCAAACTTGTGTTTAAATTTGAATTCTTACAGTGGATTTTACTAATGAAATTCAGATTCTCTGTTCTAGGCGTCCCCAAAAATTGTATAGAAATGATACATTGTACGTCGACATTAGGGCAAAACACAAATTTGTTATTATATCAATTTGATGACATAATAATAAAGAAAACTGTATCCCCCAATGACACGCGCACATTTATTTTTAGAAAATATCTAATAAATATAGAACAGTTTCTTTCAACAGGTTTGCTGTTATTCTTTAAATCGCTATAAAATGACGCTTTTAAAAAACTGTATCTCAATATAAATATAATGAGTTTAATTCAATCACAGTACAACTTTATATTTAATTTCGTATAATGTCTTAGAGAACGCGATTAGTAGAGTTACTATTTTATTTTTAGCTTGTTTGCCAATAAATGCGCGTTATTCTATCGCTACTCACTTGTTTGTAAGATTCTCATTCGTTTGTACTCTTTGTTATTAATTTAGCTTTTTAGCTCATAGTTTATTTCAATTGATAGCTTTTATCAATATTATATATCGATATTATTTATCCATACAATACAATATTATTTATCAATATTCTATATTATTAGCTCATAGTTTTATTTAAATTGATAGCTTTCATCAATATTAATTAAGCCTCATTGACGCCAATAACAGTATGATTTACCACTCTTCTTCTAAATAAATTTGTAACATTTTCCCATCAATATTGCTCATCATTACGCAACATTTTTCTCTTACTTCAATTATTACTCATTTTAAATTATCATTTCTATAGATACACGTTTTAAAGGCGTAAATAAATTCTAAATAAACATAGTTTCAAATAAATTCAGAAATACTAATTTAGGGAAGTAGTCTACCTATGCTACCTCGTTCACGCTGATGAATAAATATGCTTTTTTTACGACAGAATTAAATATTTGAGTATCATAACATAACTGTCGATGAACAGCCAACCCAACTTAGTGTTTACGACTACCAATGTTCAACTCCGTAGCTTCGTAATTTTGAACCCAATCCAGAGGACAAGGGAACTCCTGGATCATTTTAGAAAATATTGTTCCGATAATTTAGTCATCAGAGTTAATTTCACAATTCACGTACTTTACCATATCTAGAGAATTATACTTATAAATCAAAAAAAACTTAGCACCTAATTATAAAATACGTTTATCCAACGATAATTTCAAATCGAAATATTTTTTTTAATTTTATTCATTGTTTTATTTAATTGGAATCGAAAAAATATTGACTGTTAAGACCTGGAATTTTTGCATAATTTTAAAATAGTTGCTTGTTGTAAGGAACTAAGTCAATGAGAAGATTCCATTTTTAAAATATATCTTTGAATTTAAAAGATAATAAAAAAGTCAAAAATTTGGGATTCATAATTATTTTACAATTTTACTTGATAGATTCGTTTATAATCTCTTATTTTTAGGGCTTAAGTTGTCCCCCAAACCAGTATACCGACACAAAGATAAAGACACACGCATTCTTTATTTTCTTATAAGTATAGATTATTTTTTGACCTTCTCGGTGGCTTTGAGTTTTTAGATTAAGCAGAACACATTTTTAGAACACATATATAGACTGTGTTCAAAATCATCTAGCACAATATTGTTTGATAGACAACTTATGATATTTGACAACTTATGATTATATTATTGGCGTTTAATTAAATTTTTTTCAACCAATTAGTACCATTTCTATCTTAATTTCACTTTTCTGTTCAAAATTTTTTTTAATGTTAATTAGCGTAAAATTTTAATTTATTTAGTTTTAAATTTATACATTTTAAAAGCACAACTATAAACAAAATAAACACGTGGTTTCAGATAATCTTAAAAATATTAATCTGGTCATGTAGTCCGTCTGGTCACGTTGATCATTCAGATAACCTTGATCGTTCACGTTGATCATTCAGTTAACCTGGAAAAAAAAAGGAGTTCATTAAGCATAATAAAATAATTTTTTAATTAGAGCTATAAGCTAGCTCTAAAATACGTTGTACATTTATAAGAGTAGATTTGATACCTATCAAAACTGCACGCATGGGATACCTGCATGTGATGTAGTATGGGTATAGATGCTATTGCGCATGCTCGCCGAGCTCATGTGGGAAAGGAATTTTCCCTTGATCAGTTTGTGAGATTCCCTACTCGAAATGACGTTTTGTTTAAATTTCGTAGATTTGGAAGTGGAAATACAATTTAACTACTTTGAACATTTGTGCTATGAGAAATATTATTTTTTCACGAATTTGAAATCGTATGTTGTTGTATTAAATAAAAGTTCGTCGGAAAAATTCTTTTTCGAAGCATCGTATTTTTAACGTTAACCTATATTCTCTATAAAATAAAACAATATCCCAAAATTTTAATACTTATCTGACGTATTTTAGAAAGAAAATTTTACGAAATAGTGGATTCTTAAATATGGAATTTTAGATGATAAATTAAAAAATATGACTTTAAAAGTGCTTGATATATAAGACAAATCTATAATAAAGTGTAATGCTTATTTTTATTACTTACTTTTTATTTCTTAATTTTACCACCTTATTTTTGCTTCTGATTCGAAAACCTAAGATGAACTGTATGTTTTAAAAGCACGTGTAATAAAATTATCTGATTGTTTTACATTACACTTTAATAAGAATGTGCATGAAATGATTTTTCTATTATCATGAATGAAAATTTTATAGTTCTAATTAAAAACCATAAAAAATAACTATCATTTTTATTAGAACTTTTTATGAATTCTTCTCTGCAAAAGAAAAAAAAATGAAGTGACAGGTATAATATTTTAAGCAGCTGAATCACTGTGAAGACAGTGATTTATAAATTATATGAAAATAAGTTATGTAAATATGATTGTATTTCCAGACATAAATGCTTTCTTAAAAATTGTTCAAAGGAAAATTAATACTATGTCAGTTTTTTCAATAAATAAAGTAAAAATTTTATATGCCTTAAACACTATTATAAAAATCTCAATTTAGTATTTTTCTAAAATAAATATGTTTTATTATAATATTGTGCACTTTCGTTTCGCTGTCAACAATGAACAACTTTGGGTGTAAAATCTGCATGCTTTCTGGCATAACAAATCAGGTATTTATGCAGAAAAAAGTAGATCAAGAAATTTGTTTGCTTTTTCTTTAAAAAGAAGACCTATATCATTAAGAATTACAATTCTCGTCTGGCAATTCCGGAAACTAAGTCCCTATTTTTGAAGCGCTCGAAATATGTTATTTCATATTTGAATATTTAAGAGAATAAAGTTTTCAATCAGATAAGAATTTCTGCTCTATTGTAAAATATTTACACTAATTCTATAGAACTTAAGTTCTCAACAGTTCTTTATCTAAACAAAGTAAATAATTTGGAAACAGTTATTTTACTTCGTATTCTAAAAATGTAAAGGGTATACAAAAGATTGAAAAAAATAAAGAAGGATTTGAAATCAAAACAAATCTATTTTAAAAAAATTCTATGCAAATTGCACAAAAGTTTATGTAACCACAACTCCATCACTGACCTATGACATCTAATAATATTAAAATAATAATAAAATAACGGTATACGCAATTTTTTTTTTGTGTGCATAAAATGGAATTCACAAATGCAAATTTTTCACTACTAAATGTCTAATACCAAAATCATCTAATACTATTTAAAACAACTATATATTATGTTTTCTCATTAATTTAAATATATTCATAATTTATTTAAAATTTGTAAAGAATGCAAATAATCGATAAACAAAGCATCCACGAATGCGAGATGATGATGTGCTTCGACTTGAAAGAAAAGGACTTTAGGGAATTTTATAATATCACTAACTGATGTAAGGAAACTTCTGCACTTTCATCCGAGAGCATGCTTCCTAGGTCACATGAGTGGGTATGAATAATCTTTTTCTTGAAGTACCCAATTACCAGTAGTGCCATTTTACAAAATTGAGTATCATTGGTGTCAATAATAGCAAGGCGACTACTCGCGGTTTCCCATACCACATAAGTACATATTCTCCATTATTTTCACTTTTTAGTACATAGCTTATTTTTCTTCCGTTCTATTAGTACCTATTACCAAAATTAGCTAAGCATCATTTACGTCAATAACAGAAAAGTGACTTTGTATTGATACAATCTTCCCATTATTTCAGCCTTTACATACATAATTTATTATTTTAATTCAATTTGTAACTATTACCCAAATTAATTATCATTGGTGTCAATAATAAAATTGGCATTTTTTTCCTTCATTTTTCCTCAACGAATTAGTACCATTTCTCCATGCAATTTGCCTTTTAGTTCGATATTTTTTTTTATCACAATAATGATTTTAAATTATTTAGTTTTTATAAAAACACGTTTTAAAAGCATAACAATAAACAAAATAAACACGCGGTTTCAGATAACCTTAGAAATACTATTTTTGCGTCGCAGTCCGCTTTGCTACCACGATGATTCAGATAACTTGGTACAACGAATAAAAAATAACTAAGTATTACAGAACGCGCAATAAACAACCTTTTAAGATTACAGCTATAAGCTAGCAAACATTAATGATGCTCTCTTTATAATATTTGAATAAACTGAATTGTTAATTGTTTATTTTAAAACAATGGCTTCCACTGAAACAATGAGAAAATTCCAATTCTTGATTGTCTCCTTAAAAATTTAATTAAAAATCGAAAATTGGGCTTAACTTAACCTATAAAGCGAGAAGCGAAATCAAATGAACTTGAATTCGTCATTCACTTTCGTTATTCACTTACATTTTTTGTTTTGTTCTGTATTTTTTTACATTTTCTTTTTTTTTTTTGTTGCTTCATGTGTTTTATTGCGTATATTTTTTACTTATAAGGTAAGGTTGTATAGATTATACCTTATATTATAAGGTAAGGTTGTATAGATTATACCTTATTTTATAAGATAAGGTTGTATAGATTATACCTTATATCATAAGGTAAGGATGAAAGACAAGGAATTTAGTTAAAATGAATTTTGATTAAGAAGCGAGAAGATATTTTAAAAAAAGTATTTCAATAAACAATGATAAACAGCGAGAAATATTTTGAAGAGAAATGTTCTATTTATGTATCAAATCTGCTGCCACATTTCCTATATAAATTTTAAACTCTTCTGCACAGTGATTAAATTAAACTTATGCCAACCTTACATTCCGCCTCGCTCTATGCTAAATGTACATTGAAGTGTAAACATTAAAGGTTCTAGGACAGATTTTGGCTAAGTCTTTCAGGTGGGCGTCGATTACGTCGCAGATCATAAGGGCTCGATAGTATGTTGGAGTGATTTTCAGGCTTTCTGTACGTCTTTTGTTGGATCTTGTAATTCAGAAACTGATTCTTTCTCTTGATCCGAGCTCTCTTCTTCCTGGGTGACTGGTGTATCTCGCATGTAATATGGACGAAGATGTTGCACATATACAACTTTCAAAAGTTTATTTCGCAATATATACATATACACTATCAGGCTAAAAGTAACCGGACACTCGGTTGCCAAGGTGGTGGGGGCATAATGTTGTGGGAGTGTTTCTTGTGGTTTGGGTCCGTCAGCTCCTGTGGTTGGAAACATGAACTCTGAGATGTATGGTATGTTATCATTTTGGATAATGATGCACTCCCAACTCTGTGGCAATATTTCGGGGAAGGCACACATCGAGGCTTGCACAGGCGCGGTTTGAAGAAATGGGTGTTCAAAAACTGGACTGGCTTTCTCAGAGCCCCGATCTAAATCACATAGAACACCTTTGGGACCAATTAGAGAACAGATTACGTAGCCAGCCAAATAGGCCATCCTCATTGCAAGCACTCACTTCAGCTGTGATGGAAGCCTGGAAGTCAATTCCTATGGCAACCCTATGGGGGTCCAACATCATACATTCTAAGTCCATATCACTGGGTGACCGGATAGTGTATATATATANCGGTCTCTTGAAGATTCACTATAGCGGGGTTTGACGGCATATATATATATATATATATATATATATATTCACACACCTGAAGTTGAAAAACTTTTACGTGAGAAGTTTGGTACATGCAATTGCAACATTTCATGAATTTAAAAAGTGAACGGGTGTTTTATTTTCTAATAGAAAGAGAGAATTAGATAAAACCTCGATTTTGGCTAAATCAGTTTTACTTTCTAGCGGATAAACATTGAATTACATTCTACGACTTAAGAAGAGGGAGATGAGATGTTTTTGTTATTAAATTCTGTGTAGATAAGTTTGTTTTACTGAGTCAACCCAATAACACTCGATTTTTTTTCTATCTCCCTTAATTTATTATCATTACAGTTCTTTTCAGCTTATTACACGTTTGCTAATTATTCATACATAAAAAAGAGCTTTCAGGAATCACGTAGTGTACACAACTAAACAATAAATATCTTAATTGAATCTAACAGTCTTTCTGGGTCGAATGGTTAAGCTCAAACAAACATTTTAGCTAACCGGCTTATCACTTAAACTAGAAAAAAATCCGTACCTCCGATTCCATTATTTCCTGGGAACTAGTTACATGAGATAATGGCGCTTGCATGTATCAAATAACACCTTTTTCGCTGAGTAATATTCACCTTAATACGTTTACGTAATTTAAATGCAAATTAACACTCGAACATTCCTGTGATGGGTGAGTAGTTGAAATGATAAGCCAAAATGGCACTCGTTTTTTTACCGCTTCGCTTTACTTTATTTTTTATTTTATACTTTATATTTTATACTTTATACTTTATTTTTTATTTTATACTTTATTTTTTCGTATAAGTTTTAGTTTAATACAAATTAATAAAAGTTATTTTTAGCTTTTAAACCTGTAGACTTACCCGAAAGTAAATCATATTTTTCTCTGCTGCAATAATTAAAATGAAAAACACAATATTAGAAAGCTGCGGTTCATATATTACTAGATTAGCCATCAATTTCTAAATAACTTAACTATTAAGCAAGAGTTTTGATAAAAGTAATAAAAATCGAGAATTTTTTAGTTTATTAATTATTTTGCTGAATATTTAAAAAAGTGAACAATTTCGCTGTGTTGAATCGTGCAAAAAAGCGATATTTTAACTAAATAATTTCTTAAAATCAAAACAAAAAAAATAACACTTTTTTTATTTATTATTCTGCAAGAAAAAATAAGAAATATATTATTGAGAATAGCTTATAAGGATGGAGTTGATGCAGTTTTAGTTAATCTGCTTTCTTTAAAACACATTGAGCATTCAAAAACTTGTAACATATTGTAAGATATATCTCGCAAAAATCTAGAAAATTAACTGAGACTATATCAACTCGGTTCTTATAAGTTATAACAAATCCTTCGTTTCTTACCTTTTCGTGAAAAACTATTGAAAAGTTTGATGTTTTTTTCTAAAAGTTGTTTTAATTTTGATATAAATTATTTCATTACATAGTTGTTTGTGTTAAGATTCGTGAAGTTTTCTTTTTTAAAAATTACTCTTTCGTTTCGCCAATATTTTCTTATGCTTATAAATTTGGTTCTGACGGGTTAGGTGTACTTGTATTACGTAAAATTAGAGAAAAACTTATATGTTTTGCTAGAGTTGATAGAGGGCCAGAAAAAATATTGAATAATCATTAAGGAAAAGTTACAAAAAATGATTTTGTAAGTATGTATCAATGCTAGGAATATTTTATTACAGTAATTGTGCATGGATAAAAATGATTTAAAAAATAATTGATAAAAAATGTATTAAAACTTATAATATCTAATTTTCTCTGACTTGTAACTGATTAAGATTATAGCTAAAATAATCATTTTTCTTTCATCAGGTGATTGCAAATGTTCGCTTTAGTTATGAGCGTGATGAGCAAGTAATTTTAGTGGAGTAATATGATATGAACTTAATATTGAAAATCTAGCAAAAAAATTCACATTTCGTGTCTGGATAAATGTGCGTCTTTTTTTTTTTCTTCTTTTTTTTTAAGCCACGAGTTGTTCAGTAGACAATGCAAAAAATAAGGCTGCAATGAAGGAACGATCAACTATCCAATGTGTATATACTTTTTCCGATAAAATAATTTGAATGGCGAAACAATTATAGGGTATACTAAATCACTGTTTTTTTCTTCTTTCTAAAAAAAACAGGCAATTTTTATATAAAAAAGAGCCTAAGAAGTGTCAAATTGTGAGACAATTATGGAAAATCATGTGAAATGTATTATTTTCGATGAATTAATACATATATGACATTTAATCTTTCAAATCAGTTAAAAGAAAATTTAAATGCATTTCTCTAACATGTTTCAATATTTTTTTCCTAATTATAGTGTTTTATATTCCACGTCGAATCCCATCCAGTACAAAAAACCTTCCAAGCACATTACCAAGAAGTCATCTATAACATATTTTGCATCTCAGTGGTTTACTTGTTTCCCCTCATTGTCATCATCTACTGCTACTCCAAAATTATGTGGGAGATTCACAAGAGATCCAATACAAACAACAGTTAGGTTCTATTTTGAACTATTCTTCGCCGATGTTGTGGAGAACTGTTGCATGTGTATGTATATGTCAGTGACACGTTTCTTTCCTCTTTTTTTATATTTTTTATAACGCATTCATTGTTGCTTACAGTGTTTGTACTTGTATATTTACAGTCTTTATACTTGTGTGCATGCTGAATATGCTTGTATACATTTTATTTATTTATTTTCCTGCATCAATGCAGCGAAGTATTAATTTGCTGATCATCGATCCATCGACTCAGTCCGCTATCCGACGTCTACGACTCTATCTTAAGGTCTGGTTTCTTAGGACAAGCGCCTTATCTGAGCGTCAGCGGGACGTCAACATCCCGCTGACGCCAACAAAATACTGGTTTGTTAGCTCAAGGCCTGGTTTCTTAGAACTAGCGCCTTATCTGGGCGTCAGCGGAAAGTTGACGTAGAGCTGAC